ACCACCCGACACAGCCAACTAGTAAGGGTTGTCACGTCAACAGAACGTGGCCAATTCGTCACTCGTACAGCACACCGGTGTGTTGGAGAGCCAAGCCACAACATTTACAATCTGAGTACGACGTTTCGCCAGTGATTACAACTAACTTAATCAGGCGAGAGCCAGATTTGTGGAGAAGTCTTACTGTTTCGTTCCTTACATAGAGGCGTCGATATGTCGACCACCCTTCTGCGCTCTTGCACAATGTGGGGGGGATTACTGAGGCAATGTGCATTATGCGAGCCCTTTGAACTTGTCCTTCCTGTCTATTGTGTTTGTTAAAATAGCCCTACCAACGGTAATCCCGATTGAAGTACGCTGCCCTTTGTATTGTACGCTGCCCTAATTAGAGAATCTATCGAAATTGAACCCTTACTAGTTGGCTGTCGGGTGGTGGCGGGTTTTAACGACACATTTATATATTTATACGCGATCTAACCCAAAAAAAAACCTCTTATGGATGTTATTGGTCGCGAAAGCCAACGTGTTAAACATTCTTACATAGAATCGCACAGAGATTCATCGTTTGTTGTCCTTCCCTCCACACTTCCTATTAGCACGGTTGGCTACGTACGGTGCGAAAGAAGTTAAACGTACAGTAGGTTCATCGGCCGGCGCCGAGAGCTCCCCTAACTCCTCCGCTACTCGATAATCCATCTTGATGAGGGCACGGCGTTTTGGCTGTGGACGTTTGTGCGAAACGCCTCATTACATCGGCTTCAAGCATTGCATTTTCGTGTTAATCTGCAGCCCATTTTTGCGTCAAGTCTACTGCTGGTATGATGTCCCCTCCCTGCACCGTGCAGGTGTGCGTGGGTTAGTTGACCATACTTCACCACGCTGGTCGGTTCTGGTTGGCGATGGTGTGGCAGCATCGGTGGAGAGTAACGGGCAGTCCTCAACTTATGAACGGGTTACGTTGCCGAGATCCGTTCGCAAGTCGATTTGTCCGTGTCTCGGAATTCAGTCTTGAGTTGTATGTGTACTGTGCATGCTGTACGTAAAATTTGATTCAACAAAAAAAGGAGGCAATGCTCAACGCATCAATAACATATTTGTACATTTGCATGTAAGACTGTCATAAATACTGTATAGTAAATAAAACAATATAAAGTAACATGATAAGGAAAAACATCAGTTTAATTTTCACTTACCTTTAGTCCTGATGCCCGCTTCCTTTTTGGAAAGGGCTTGCGTCAACGCTGGTGGTGGACGGGCGTGGTGCTGACCACCCACCATCCCCTTCGTGTGCTTGCCGGCCTTCTTTATAGGTGCTCGCTAACAGCACTTGCCCCAACAGTCTGTTAAGGCTACAGTGGGGTGTGGGGGGGTGTCTTTCTCTTTGCATCACACGTGGAGGATCACTCCGCCGAACAAAATAGTTCCGCGGTTTGGTTCGTAAGTTCGACCGAACGTTCGCAAGTCGTTATTTGTGGATTTACGTAAGGCGGACGATCGTATCTCTGGGTGGACTGCCTGCGCAACAATGGATTTTCCTGCGTTGACCCTCTGTTGATCGCACCGTGGCCCTGCAGGCCTGGTGGTCGGCCTGGTGGTCGGCCTGTCACAGCACTATCCAGACTCAACCGCTGCTTCGCGTCCGAGATCTGAAGAGATTGGGTGCATTCCTTTTTCATTTAGCCAAAGCGAAATGTTTGTGCAGTCAGTGAAATTGCAATGCAATTTTACGTCATCTCCCAACGCAGAAGTCTTGTCTAGTCGAGCGCAGGCAACGATCTGGGAGTTTATTGCGATCATCGTCGGCTGGCAGCTCCGATTAGCACGGTTGGCGATGTGCGGCGTGAAAGAAGTTCAACATGCATCAACACCCAACATCTCGCCACCTGCACTGTTAAACCGCACACAGAGGCTCACTTGCAGTGCTCGCTTGCCCCAGTCGTGCGGTGGCCAGCGCGGTGATGAATCCCGCGTGTGTGTGCGCGCTATCGCAGGCGGCACAGCAGCGGTGAGCAGCAAGTCGCGGCCGTGCTGTCCATGCCCCGCGCTCCACCAGACACCGTCTCGCAGGTAACCGCCAACGTATTTCGTCCTTTAAAACATCTCTCAGATTTGTGTTCTAGGATGTGCTCCAGACCCTGCGTGTTGTTCGGCACGTTGTCCCTCTGATGCTTTATCTTCCACAAGCTGGGAGCTTCGCCAGGAACTGTGAACGTGTTGTTAAGCTTAAAATATTACCAAACGCCCCCCCCCCCCCTCTCTTCACTGGGGCTTGCGAGGGTCACGTGACCCGCTGCTGCTCTTCAACGCGTCAGTTTTTTTAATGCTTCTGACACGCGATGCGAACTCTCAAGCTGCTGGGCGGTAAAATTGGCACGCCGCATTGTGACGCATTATATTTAAGTGTCGTACTCCGAATTCATATTTTGGTAGTGAAAACGCTCAGCGTTCGCAACACTTTGCCGTCGGTTAGCAGGGTGGCACAGTGAGAAAAAACTGGGTTTCATTCACGACTCGATCACCTTTCTCTGTGGAGTCTGTGTGTTCTCCCTCTGTTGTGCATGGGTTTCCTCCCGGTTCCCTCCCACAGCAAACAAAAAAATCATACAATGTAAATGAAACTGCCTGGAAATTACTCCATTGGGATTACACATGGCAATACCAACCCCCTCCTGTAAGAGTCTTGAGACCCATAGAGGCTTTCTTGGCAAAACAAGGATAGTCATGACATGGATAATGAATCACGTTATTGACGGCGTCTCTCCGCCTCACGCCGTTTGCCTTTTACTAGGAAAAGACAAAAACGTGGCCTCTCAAATCGCCGTGGATGGCCGCCTCCACGCTGGTGCCCACCAGCACGGCTCCGTACCCGGACGCCGTTCCGCCGGTGCCGTGGTACGAAGACTCCGCAGCGCCAGCGGTCTTCCCGCCGTCCGTTTGGTCAACGGAGGCATGCGACGGCACGGCAGCCGTGGCGACAGCGGAATTCACGCAGTACATACCGCACCAGCCGGGCGCCGGCGCCGCCACGCAGCGCCTGGGAGCGCCGGGCTACGGGCAGGGCCCTGGCGGCGAGCGCAGGGTGTACACGAGGCCGTACTGACCGGTCCCTGCACCGGCTCGAGAGCTTGATTACGGCAGGAACTCTGTCGCAAGGGCGCGCACTCTGTTTATTACACACACACACAAGCGCACTACCGCACTGTAACGAAACACCCATACTTTCGTACTACCACACACCATTTTATCAAATTACACCGTCACGCTTTCACACTATCTTAACTCACACTCTTACTCAGTAGCACACTACCGTACACCATCACATCCTCTGCCACACACACATTCGCACTCGCACTCTCAAACTCTCACACGTGTGCAAACGCGCACTTGTTCACCGCCTGCACCGTGGGCTGCGAGCCGCAGCTGGGCTCAACTCAACGCCAGCGAAGGGGGGGTTTGGGTCGCCATACCCGCGTGCCGATTTAAGGCGCCACTCCCCCCCCGCCCCGTCCCGTGGGGAACTGGCTTCCGGCACGGTGGCGGGGCACCGGGTAGTGGCGGTGGGTGCCTGCACGGCGCTAGCAGGGTTGGGGGTGGTAGCTTCGTTTTGACACTAAAGCGTTACATACGTCTGCGGGGCAGTATTTAGTTTTGTTGGGGGGGGGGGGAACCACGTCCCGGCATTGGCCACGGGCTGGCGTCCAAGCCCGAGGAAAGCGCCATCGCCGCTCGAGCTAGCCAAAGGTGTTTCTCAATGCGGTGCCTTGCCGCTGCCCGTGCACTAAACTCGCGCGCGGTTGTTGTGGGCGTTGAAAATAAAACTCAAAACTATTTTACGACCAACAATCTGAGACCAAGGTGTGGGCATGGTGGGGGGGGGGAAGGCCCTTGGCCCGGGTTAGAGTAAATATAAAGAAAGCCCGGCCAGGTCAGATTGACACCCTGCGAAGAGCGCCTGCCATCGACAGTGGTGTAGTCCCGCCAATGCGTTCAAGAGCGAATGTTCTCAACGTTCAACGTGCGTTTGCGCGACGCAAAGCCCGCGCGTGTGATGCCGGTGGCCCGCAAGTGTTGTTACGCGTTGTGTTGTCGTAATTGTCGTTATTGTTGTGCGGAGGCATTCCATTGAGCTGACCCGTGTGCGAAGCGTCCCGTTCTGAGAGAACCTTCCATGGCTGGAACAGGAGGTATTTTACATGGCTTGCTGCGTCGTCCACGTTGTTTCTCTTTGTTTTTTACTGCCCACCCCCCCACGTAAGTTCTTTTTTTTTGTCTAAAAAGAGCGTAGTTAAAAACTACTAACGAATATTAGCTCGATGATATAACAAGAGATGAATCTTGCAACGGCATATGCAGAGGGTAGAGCGTTGACCTTCCAAAGTGCGAGCTGCTATTCTATGGCTAATGGTGCTCCTGTAAAGGTATGTATGTGTACACTGGTTTCTACTGTGCGAGACAGCAGCTTGTAACTGCCTGCAGTGAGACTATTCTTCATTGTTCTTTGTATTCCAGTACTGAAAATACAGCCTAAAACATGCATGTGAAATGCCTCCTATGTTGAGCTGCGTCGAAGGATGCGTTTCCATTGCCCTCCTGCTTAATTGGTGTCACCTCGGAGCGCGGGGTGTAGCACCCTCCACCTCCATTGGTGGCCAGGTTAAAAAAAAGTGTTTCTATTTTACCAGGTAAGGCCCACGAAGCTATGTAGCTCTTCAGAAGCGACCTAGCTATCACAATTGATAGCTCAACAAAGTGGCTTATCGTGTGGACATTTATAGCAGCCAAACTCTCTAAATGTGTGTTGTTGATTCTAAATGTGGAGTGGAAAACGGGAGGACCCGGAAAAAAATCCACGTGACCACGGGGAGAGAGACGCGTCAACTCCAAATATACAGGCATCAGGGTCTGGAGCGAACCCACAACCTCGTGTGTATACCGGGGGAGGAAGGTAACTCACCACTGCCGGAAGCTGTCGATCGCCATGAGAAGAGAAAGCCACGGGGTTGAAGCCGACAGTCCTCGTCTTTATTCACATTTAGTCCACGACAAGTGAACGGTGCCCGTCGTGTACAGTGCAAGCCCAATTTAACACTCGTTATCCCTGCGACGCCACGCACGCACCTTCAGGTTCCAATTATTTTATTTAAAAAAATCACAGTTCTAGACCGTCGTCGCCCGGCTAAAACACTGTGGACGGTCGCGGCGACGTCGGTTAATGACGAGTGAGGATTTACAAGTTTATTTTGCTGCTCGACGGCAACTTGGATTGATCGTGAGGGCCAGAAAGACAAGTGCGGTGCCACCGCAGCGGAGCAGCTCGGCCGGCGCTACCCTCCTTGCACCCCGCCCCCACCAACGCACGCCCCGCTAAACACTCACATGCACCCCGTAGGGTCTCGGAGGGATCACCTGGGTTTTCACCCGAGGACTCCATTAACAGGGTCGTTCAACGGTTTCCCCGGACCAGGAAATTGGCTGAGCCCCCCAGACCAAATTACATGGCGGCCCCCCCCCTAAAAGGGGGCAGAGCTTTACAGGCCGGCCGCGATGAAGCATACACAGCACGGGGAATGGTACCCCAAGGCAAGCACCCTGCGGCAGTGTAAACAGTGGGATGGGGTGAGAGGGAAAAGCCCCTAGGCATATAGGAGGATTTAAGCGAGAGGGCCCGAGGGGATTATCGGTGAGTCAGCGGCAGGGAACGCAGGTACAGAGACAATGGATGGGGGGGGGGGGGATGACGTGACCCCCCCCCCCCCCAACGGCCAGAGCGCTCAAAACGGCCGCAACGAGGATTCGATTGGATGCGCAGGATGATGTCATATGACCCGGGGATTAACGGGCTTTGGGAACATAAGGGGGGGAAGGAGGGCAAATTGGATCAGAGTTCTTCTGGAGTGACGGAGAATACCAGCCGCCCTCAGCGTCCGTGGGATGCCTGCAGGGTGCAGCTGAAAACGATTGCCCAGGCAAAGTCTCTGAGGCGGGCATCTTCCCCAACCCCCATCGTGCAACAGGAAAGAGCGGTGGGACAGCGATTGGCGCACAACGGTGTGTGGGTGACTATAAACCAGGGTGTGTATGACACGCGCGCATATTAAAATATAAACGGTTGCCCGCGCCAGCGCGTGTACATGCGAGAACCGCAGTATTAACAGCGAGACAGCGTGGGTATCGCGCAGAGAAAATCAGTGGGTGGGTTCCGCGCGAGCGCTGATTCATTAATATCCGGACCGCTCTGGAGCATGGGTGGCTGCCAGCGAGTTAATCAGTAACCCCCGTGGCCATTAGCCTTGTTGACACAACGGCTTAGTGGAAATAATGAATTAACTCCAAACGAGCGAGTGGGGGGAAGGCGCGCACGTAATTAACCCCTAGGCGGGGTCTGCCAGCCGCTAGCTATGTCAGAGGGCGCTGGGGGGGGCCGGTCACCCGGTCGGGAATGGAGGGGGCAGACGTCGCACCCCACCCGCTCGCGGGAAGGGGGAGATCAGCCCCCACCTAGTGGGGAGGGGGGCATTAGCCCCCACACAAGCGAGGAAGCACACGACTTTTATTTATTTATACAAGTTGATTGTTTATTAAAACAGCGCTCACACTAATGCTCTTAGGGGGAGGGGGGCTGGGTTTGGGCTTCTTGTGGACTCTCGTTTGTGCCAGAATCTCCACCGTGAAGCGGCAATTTGTATTCAAGATTGTTGGTTACCCATGGGGTTTGTTAACCACACGACAGCAACTCAAGAGAGGGACTGTTTTGGGTTGCGTCGTCATGGCTATCGCCGGCAGAGCACCAGGTGCTTCTGCTGCCCCGTAGAATGTGATGATGGCTGTTTGACTTGAAAAACACAGGGTCACGACATCAACGTTCATTACTGGTGATGTTCTGTGGTGCACTCGTATCGATTCCAGTGCGTGGGAAATGAAAGGTTCTGAATGCTACACGACTATAATCTCGCTTCATGAAATTGTCACTTTGCATTAAGTGAATTTTACGAGGCCCCACCCCCATTTTCTGTCTGCGTCTGCAGTTTTGGTGACAAATCCAGAGGAGACAAAACGACTTTCGTGATTATGCTCGACAGCCTGAAATTGGCCCAGGCAGTGCATTAACAACTGCAAGGGGGGTGGTGCTCCCCTGTTGACCAGAAGACACCAGGGTTGTGGCCATTTATCCATGTCGCATGCGACGACACTCAGGGAATCCCTTGCCCAGGGGGCTCGCTACATATGGCAATTTCCCAACGGGGAAACATTCCATCGTTTCAGGTTCCCCCTTGCCCAGATCCTCCCAGTGCCCCCGAGGAGGGCAGAACTGCAAATTCCCCTTGAGGTGACCGTGCATAGCGGCAGCAGGCCATGCAGTGCCTGCCAAGTGACTTCACGCAACTACATTCTGTGGCCCCTGATTAATAAGTACTATGATCATGCGTTGGTTTAACCCTCGCACAGCTGTGTTTTTAAACGTTATGCCACCCTGCAAGCCCGCCCCTTTTTCTGTTTGGGAAACTGGGGTCGGTTTGAGTTTCGGTAAAATTTCTTAATGTGCAACGTTAAATCTTCTGGAGATTGACATTTCAGCAGAGACAATGTGTCTGTGGCCCGCAAACAAAATCCACATTTGCTCACGTTAAATATCAGGACTGGCCAAAGAAGGGCATTTCCTTGTCCTGAGAATCTACGGCACCAGTTGTCAAAGGGTTAATAATTGAGGTTTAATTACAGAAACTCACATCAGACCCAGTCGGTCATGTCAACGTCTCACAGGCACATCTGTAGTCTTTGGGCTTGCTGTAGATTTGAACCCATATTCATTCTCGTGTGAACTCCGCGGTCACATTTAGTACTTCCATATAGACGACCATTAGGTTGCCCAATACAATTAAAAGAAAAAAGGTAATTCGGTTAATTGGGATTGAACACAGCTTGTCTTTTTTAAAGTGTATTAACACGGGGACGACGGGTCCTGCCGATTTGTTACTGGACCCCACGACTCACGAGATCCCACCGTTTGGACCCTCCAGCTGCTCAACCACGCGTGCCCTGCACCGGCGTTTTTCACCACACCGACTAGTTTAACGGAGCTGCATGGTGTGAATCGGTTTCGTCTTTTAGATTCTCTTCACCCTACTTGAGGATGAAGACCAGTGTATGGCTGCACGACTGTTGTGATTCTGCCTCCAACTCTTAATAGCCTGAACGATGGTGTCGCCTATTCTACTCGGCCAGCTCAATAATTTACCGATGGATTCTGGGTGTCTGGCAAATAGAAACGTTAAAAACAGTCATCTCGTCAGTCATACAATCTCCGTGTAGCTCTTCAGCAACTGATTCTCGTAAATATTTAAATTTGATCGCGATAAAGCATTCCATTCAAAATATTTATTCACTTTTTTAGTTTTTTAAAAAGGACATTTAAAAATACAGTATCCGATACACGTGACCCCCACCTCCTGCGTCTGGCACAGCGATGGCGCGTCCGTTCGCCTGTCCGTCCGATGTAACGCTCTACCCCCGCAGTGCTTCACACCCGACTCTCCCTCCGCTCCCACCGACTCCCTCCCCTCGGGGTCATCCTGAAGTCGACGTTTCCTTCTCTTCTAAGACGTCACTTTGTTATCCCTCTGTAAGAACATACGCCACAGCGGACACGCCGATTACCGTTGTACTTCAGCCATCGCAAAACATCAAGCAGTTCGTCACGAATGGCGTTCATTTACTTAGCACTTGAGTCTGGAATATTAGTCAAGACTTTGTGGATATCATCTACTTATTAAGATAGAAATTGGTCACTAAATTAATACCGTCCGGTGTTGATTTGGCCAGCATTTTTTTATTTTAGTCTGACAACTTGCGGAATGTATTTAGTTGTTAAAATAAATCTACTTTTAAATATCACAGTTGCTGAGCACAGACCAAAAAATGCCAAGTGGCCAGCAACAAACAGTACAATTAAAATGGCAACAGATAAAGAGGGGAATGTTCTTGAAATGAGAATGGTTACACGGACTTGGGAAAAGAGACGATGGGGAGAGGGTTTTGAAGTAAAGCCGTGCGAATGACGAAGCAGAAAGGAGTGTAGTGGCCTGCAACGTTGTGAACACTGTTTGGATGACATTTGCAGTTTGGTAGATCAAGCATCCAACTTGGGAGGAAAAATCGGAACGTCACAGGAACAGTAACCATGGTAGTAGCGACAGATGAGGCTTAACTGCTGAGGAGCGAGTGACTGGAGTGAATTGTGTGCTGGATTATCACAATTCACACTGCACACGGCAGTCGGTATCTACTGGCTGAATTAAATCTGCACATAAAAATTCCACGGGTTATCGACTAGGCTGGCTCGGGAACGTGACGCTTCGGCTCACCTTCTGATCAATCTCTGACCACAGTCGCCCTCCTCCGCGGCCTCCTCGGTACCCAAACTCCCGCACGCCTCCCCGGGGGTTCCCAGTCGCCCCTCGGAAGAACCCCCTCGCGCCGCGGTAGTAACCGCCACCGTAGCCTCCGCGGTGGTAACCGCGCCCGCGGTAGTAGCCGCCCCGACCCCGGCTGCAGGAGACCCCGAACGTCTCGACGTTCATGCGCCGCTCCTCCGCCCACGTCGAGCGCCGCTCCCTGGGTGGTCGGCGCCAGACAGAGGTGCGGTTAAACGTGCGGCGTCGGATAACACACCAGGCAACGCGGCGCGGACACGATACCACACGGAGATGCACATCGATGCTACGCGGCGGCAGCACCACGCGGGACCCGTCATCGCTACAGCGGTGGCACGGGTTGGCTGGGGGGGGGGGGGGGAGGCCTCACCTTGGGTCGCTCTCGCGTGAGATGTTGTCGAAGAACGACTTGGTCTTGTCGTAGTAGGCGCTGTCATCCTCATGCGACTGCGTCTCCGCGCCGCTCTCCTTGTCCTCGCCGTTCACCACCTTCTCCCCCCCGCGGTCGTCTACGCAGAAACCGCACAGCGTCAACTGGTTAGACATTCGCCTGCCCTCAACGTTACTTTGTACATACATCGATGAGTAAATTTTCAGAATCTGAATCAGAATTTGTATTTATCCCGGAGAAATCCTATGAGCTATGAAGCTCTTTTTCACATGTCCAGTAGGGGGTGGGTCAGAAAGTTACAACAAACAGTACAAAACACGATAGGAGTGCAGAGTATAGGAAAGGTAAGCAAATCACTACAAAAATAAAATATTTATAGTACATCAATTCCTAAGATTGGGCAAGGCAGCGAAACAACAGGAAGAACAGTACCAGACCACACCAAGACAACAAAGTCCCATCATAAGATGTAACACTAAAATTTTACAATAGATTAATATTCATGGTTCTTTCGATAAAGTCACGTAGAAGGGAAATAATAAAAGAATACAAAAAAATAATACAAATAAAGGAACAAAAATAGTTTTATTTGTATTATTTTATTATTTCCCTTCTATGTGACTTTACCAAAAGAACCAAGAATATGAATCCCTGCAGTCACGAAAGCTTTAAATAAAAAAAATAACTACATGGGTAAGGATGAAAGTTACAAATCACATTTGCAAATTCAGTTGTATCCAGCACAAATCTTCTGCTTCGGGATATTTTTTTAAAAAGAAAATTCACGATGTTAAGGGAAGAAAACAAAGTTTTTCGAAAACGTTTTAATTTTACAATTAAATAATTTGTGGAAGCTTTGGACTTGTACAAATCTTTAGCAAGCCACACGCGAACACAACACGCCTTCAGGTAGTACAAAATAACACGAGGCCGTTGCAGTGACCTACGTGATTGAGCATATTGAAATGAAAAGACATCAGTCTTGCCAGATTGAAAATGTTCCTCTCCATCACCAAAATAATGCATCGAGTAATGGATAAATATAACTTGCCGTTTCAAAGCGGTAGGGTTCATGTGATCACAGGCTGTATGAAATTAAGTCTTGGTCCACATGATATCACGACTTGGGGTCGTATGAAATATAAGTCGCGTGCCGTATGAACCAAGAAAGTCAGTTGTATACAGGACCTTTCAAATTGGTAATCTCAAAGGGCTGTACATCAAAGGTAAAACAACTAAATAACAGGCCATACGAAGGAGCTGCTTGCTTCTGGCCGGAGAGTCTTAGGCTCACCAGCCCGACTGCAGACGGTGCTGTGACACGGCCCCTACCTTTGAGCTTGAGCTTGTCCTGGAACTCCTTCTCTAGCTCCTCCTTGTTGAACTGTGCGTTGGCGCTCTCAAAGTCGAAGTCCCCTTCGAACTTCATCGGCTGCTCCTTGCGGCCACCCCCAATGCGGCCGCGGCCCCGGAAGCCGTCCCGGCCGCGCCGGGGGGGCCCTGCACGACCCGGATAACCGCCAAAGAACACAAAATACACAACGGCTCGGAGTGCGTACTACTTCGCCCAGGCTGCTGTAGGTGCAGTCTGGGGAAGGGGAGAGGTGGTCGGGGTAGGGGGTGGTGGTGATGCTAGGGGAGGGGCTGTCGGGGGAGTGGAGGCTGGTCACTTGCAAGGTTACACTGGCGCAATCAAATCACTACGACATGACCACATTGTCAGGTATGCGTCCAATCTCACTGGATCTTGGAAGCAAATAAGCCTGGTTAATACTTGGGTGGTTGCCCATCAGAGCTTGCCAGGTGCTCTCCTCTACGGCCCCTATAGTCCAAAAATGTTCCCGTAGTGGTCCGTGCCATCGACCCCCCATTTCAATCTTGTTCAGACCTTTTCTTTTTCTCGGGCCATCGCATGGAAACAAATTCAGCAGAGCGGAACTCACCTCCGCCACCTCTGCCACCTTCGCCACCTCTACCGCCGCCACCGCTGACACCGCTGACACCGCTGACACCGCTGACACCGCTGACACCGCTGACACCGCCGCCAACACCGCTGCCGACACCGCCGCCGACACCGCCGCCGACACCGCCAATTGGTGACGTAGGGCCCACTGGTTGCCGGTAACCACCCCCTCGCCTCCGGAATGTCTGGCCCCGGTCATCCGTCCGCTCTGGCTTGTGCCCATCCATGTGCCCTGCGTGGCAATGAACACACAGATGCCGTTAGCTCCGAGGGAACAGCTTCCTGCATCCGCCGAACTTCTCAAAAACTGGTGGCGGCAGCAACGGGATAGGCCACACGTACTGTCGACGGTGCCAGGCACCACGCCGCCCTTCCTGGCATCGTTAAAGATGCCGGGCCTGTGCGCAGGTGGCACGCCGGGAGCCTTGGCTTGTTGGCTCGGTCGCCGGTCGCCCACGGCGGTAGAAGTCAGCGGTTTCTCGCTCGTCGCGCGCTCCGGCGTAGGCTTGCCACCGAGGCCTCCGGGGGGCGACACCGCTCGCGGGACGTCTGCGAGGCCAAACGACACGAGTTATCCTATGAGCCACTTGCCTGCCCTTCTATTTACTGAGGGATTTCATCCAGCACAGGATTATAAGCTAGTTGAATCTGGCTTGGGGAAGATTGCTGCAAAATTCAGCAACAGAGTCCTTCTGAACTCCAGAGTTGATTGTGAAGGTGTCAAACAGGCTACTTCAACTACTGGATATAATGACCTGAGAGATATAAAAACAAATTTTAGCCTGCACGTTTAAGCCAACTCGAAATGGCAGCTGGGCAATATTGCAGCGGCCGTATAGACGGTCGCTCGGCCACGTTATGAAGCAATGCGTTTGGACTCATTTTGGAAGCGACGGCGATGAGTTTTGGCTCGAAAGCACGGAGGTTGGTGTTTGGGTGACCGCAACACAGGCAGCAGAAGGGCGTACGCAGTTGTGCACGACCTTCACCCAGGAGTGCAGCACAGTTTCCTACAATGTATCGCTTCTATTTATCACCATGCGCTTGAGTGCGTCAAATTAATTTGTTATTGAATTTCCAAAAGGGCTCGGTGCATTACGGTGCTTCCAGAGTCAACGCGCGCTCTCTTGTGAGAGCCACTAATTGACATCCATGTCCTGCACAGGAACGTTAGTGTCAGGCTAGTGGGGCGGTGGTGGAGGCGGGGGGGGGGGAACCCGGGTAGGGCAAAATGCGAGTCGGGGGGCTGAGGGAGTAAATGTGGCGGTAGCAGTGGGCTTACCCTGCGACGGCAAGAGGCTCGTCGGGGACAGGAAGTCTGGCGTGAAGCTCGTCTCCCCGAACGCCCCGCCTCGTGGTGGCTGCATCCCCGACAGAGTCGAGTTTTGCGCGATGGGAGACAGACCGCTTCCTGCAGGCCCAGCCGCACACACACAGGTGCACATGGCAGGTGTGCACGCACAAAATAATTGGTTTCTTGAAGCTATTTGCAACCATTGTGATAAGTTCATCAAATCTCTCGTGGGTCAAATCTGTAAGTGCCTATTATGCGTATTACATTTACACATTCATGCACGCCGTACCGCCACCAAAACGACTTGGAGCTGATATTTACCCAAGCCGAGCGAGCCGTAGGGGGGGCCCATGAAGGATCCGGGCCCCAGCTGGCCGTATGGGGCCATGCCGCTAAAAGGCCCATAGGAGCTGGACGACTGGAACCTCGGGGCAACCGAGCCTAGGGAAGACTGCGAGTGACAACGAAGCGATGGAGAGTTACAGATCGTTTGACAACAAACGGTGACACGACCACAGATCGGCCGTCAGCGATCGGTGTTGGATTGGCGTGGGTGAATCTCCCCCGTCCCACCTGCACGATGGCGGGGTCCTGGGGCAGCGTGCGCTGGGGCTTGGGCGGCTCACGCACCGTGATGTCCTTGATGTCGCTGCCGCGGAACACGATGTACTCAAAGATCTCATCGCGGGGCGCGACTGGGCGCTCCGTGGGCCGGTCCTCCGTGCCAAACGAGCGGACTGCATGCGCGCCGCACAGAACACACAGCACCCAATAGTTCAGTCACCTGACGTCAGCCATATCTGTTCATACTAAGAGGTTTTTGGGTTAGATCGCATAAGTATAAATGTGTTGTAAACTTCCACCACCCGACACAGGCAGTAATTATATCCGGCATCATCACGATCTAACCCAAAAACCTTTATGAATATTATTGGTTGCGAAAGCCCACGTGTTAAGCCATATCTGTGTCAAGACTTTCAGAATCAAAATGTTTATTTATATCGGAGAAATTCGAAGAGCTATGAAGCTCTTTTTCACAGATGTCCAGTAGGGCCGGGTTGGAAAGTTACAACAAACAATACAAAAAAACGATAGTAGTGCAATGTATAGAAAAGGTAAGCAAATTTAAAAATAAATGTTTAACCAAACTATGTTTTATTTTACTAGGTAAAGCCGACAGAGCTCTTAGTTATTTTTCAGAAGCGACCTGGTAACTTCAGAAGCGATCTGGACACAAGACTAAAATGTATTCCGTGTTCAGATTTAAAACTTCAACCAATCCTTTGGTGTATTGGTATGCAGTGTACGAGGCACTAAGAACCCAACTGCTCCCATAAGGGGACTTCAATAAAAAAAAACCTCAAGCTACCTCAACCAAGTTTTTTTTTTATGAAGGCAGGAGCCCCTTAAGCTGCACACTGCACATCTGCATTAATTGTTATGCGGGTATGATGAGGTTATCATGACCTTCATTTATCCAGGAAAGCCTCACACCGTCTCAAGTTTCAGGAAGGTCCTGCTATAATGGGATGCTTGGCAAATTCCTGTTTTAGTGCGTTATGTCGAAACACCATCATGGTTGTGAAGGTATAAACATGTCCGCACAGACGGATTAGAACACATGGAACCGTAATGTATTTTAATACATTTAGCATCCCCAGCCATGACCAACCCACTGCTGGATTGACCATCTTGGTGGCAGTTGTCCATCTTTGGGTGCCGCTCCCTTGGGAGTTTCGACCTCTGGCCATCATACATTCTAGACATGTCCTGCCCAAGCCCACTTGGTTTTAACAATGTGGTGTTTCTAAATTGCGTTCTCAAATTACTGTTCCTTTCTGTCAACGAAGTGACTTATCACGTGGAAATGTATTAGCAGCCAAATACTCTAAAACGCAAGTTTCTAAATGTGGTGGGAAAAATCGGAGAATCCGGAGAAAAATCCAAGTGACCACGGGGGGAGAGAGATACATGCAAACTTCAAATATACAGGCATCAGGGTCGGGATCGAACCCACGACCTCCTGAATATCCCACCGTGGTGCCCCTATATGAGATGGTCCTGCCCCAACCCTGCGTTGGTCATCGAAGTCAAGCAAACTCCACGACCAACGCAGCACATGCAGGATTTCATTGAGCAGTGTATTGAAAAAAGGGCTGGAAATTGCAGAGTACAGACCACGCGAGATTGTATGAAACCGCCGAGCAATGGTGGCTCGGTGAAGATAAAGATCAACAGGGTTACACAACGTCAACACGCGGTTATCCCAGCGAGCATGGGAAGGAAGAAGGCTCGCCAATGATACACAACCCTGAGCCCGTGATGGACATTCCACATTGTTATTACAGTGGCGAGTTTATCCACGGAACGGCGAGGGACTGCACAGTCGTAGCCCATGAGGTAGGTGAGCGTTGACAATTGCAATTAGAAACCGGGAAAAAAAAATACTAAGTTCACGGTGGAGGTCAGGTGAGTGGATCAGGGGAGGATCGGGTGACTAGCTCAGGTGTAGGTCAGACCACTGGGTCAGGAGGGGGAGGCCGAGTCACTGGGGTATGGGGTGGGGAGGACGCGCCGTTAAGACTGTCGGTGCCGGCGTCGCGAAATTAAAAGAATCGCGATCTTTATTTAGACTGGAGGAATGCGATGAGCTCTGGAGGCTATTTTTCATGGACGTCCAAAGACGGCCTCGACGTCAAAACAACAGAGCGCCGTTGACGGCTCCACAGTGCGCAATTGGCATGAACATCCCAATGTAGGACCACAGAACTTGGGCAAGTGCTCGTGCCGGTCGGTCCTGGCTGTTTTCCCGCTTCGTCTGGTGCCCCCCCCCCCCCACCGTATCATTCTCTCTGTGAGTAAGCAAAATCTGCGCGCGTCCAAATGCCACGGGACATGCGAGCTGTATCACTGTGTTAGTACAACTACGGTGCGAAGAATCACAGCCCGTTACTATCACTGTCGCCACTGCACGGAACCCACCACCGTCACCATCATTATCCCCACCAACCACCATCATCATTATTTTCATCACCACCATCACCATTATTTTCATCACCACCATCATTATCACTACCAACCACCATCATCATTATCACCACCACCATCATCATCTTCACTATCACCAACCACCTCAACTTCGCTTTACCTGCCAGGTTCCGTTGTCGTGCGCGCACCACCCAACACACACACACCCCCCAACACACACCACCCAACACACACACACCACCCAACACACACCACCCAACACACACATAACCCAACACACACACCACCCAACACACACACACCACCCAACACACACACACATCACCCAACACACACACACCACCACACCACTCAACACCACCACACCACCACCCAACAACAACAACCGCCATTCGCCACTATGTGGCGGTGACGTCACCACGACGCTTGTGCCAGGCCATATGCACCTTGAGGCCACGTGAAGTGTCGAACGCCCGCGGGCAGGAGGTCACGGGGCAGACCCAGGTGCCACGGGTCGACTGACTGAGATGACTGGCTGATGCACCACCTGTGCCCCCTACTGTGCCAACCTGCTGTGCCTTAGCCACCCGGCGCTTCGCTCGTTGTTGTGAGCGTCGCTCCTCCGCCCTCCGTTGTTGGAGGGCGACTGCCTCCAACTGCCCAGTAGCGTCCTGCACGAGCCTCCTCCACAGAGGCCGATCTTGACACCGCTGGTACCAGTCATCGGCAAGTACACTCAGCTCCACGTCCTCCTGTACCACATCACTCCATCTCTTCTCTAGCCCGTGCCGCGCCCGTTTAGCCCCCTCGATCCGGCCAAACAAAAGCTGTTTCGGCATGCGGTGGCTGGGCATGCGGGCTACATGACCCAGCCATCGCAGCCTTGCCTGCTAGAGCTCACCGATGGGACCTTGCCCAGATCTTTCAAGGATTTGTGAGCTCCTCACACAATCCAGTCTGGTTAAACCCAGGATGGATCGTAGGGAGGCCAGCCTAAATGTTTCTAACACACACACACCACCCAACACACACACACCACCCAACACACACACACACCACCCAACACACACACAACAACAACCGCCATTCGCCACTAAGTGGCGGTGACGTCACCACGACGCTTGTGCCAGGCTATGTGCACCCTGAGGCCACGTGAAGTGGCCTCAGGGTGCACCAAACACACACACACCACCCAACACCACCACACCACCCAACCACCCAACACACACCACCCAACACACACACCACCCAACACACACACACTCACTGCACCGTCTCTCGACACGAGCCGGACCGAGACGAACACGCGCGGAGCCAGCGGACAGCCCTGGCGCTGCTGCTGCTGCTCTGCCGCCGCTGCAGCAGTAACCGTGACGTCACCCTTCGCAGCCCCCCCCCCCCGGGCCCCCCCCCCACGCCGTGGGCCGGACTTCAACCCCGTCAGGGGAGGCGCGAGACGACGCCGCCCCCCACGCCGTGAAAGGGTGAACACAGGTCGACAACGACGGAGCGACGGGCAAGATCACAAGAGAGGTGGCGATTAATAGACCCCCTCCACTCCACTCCCGGGGTGGTGGTGTTGGTGGGGGTTGTGGTGGTAGTAGTGGAGGTAGTGGTGGTGGTAGTGATGGAGGTGGTGATGGAGGTAGTGGTTGTGGTAGTGGTGGTGGAGGTAGTGGTAGTGGTGGAGGTGGTGGTGGAGGTTGTTCGGTCTTATCGACCCCGAGCGGACCGCGGCCGCCGGGCGCCGTTGCACCTTTGGCGAGCGCGACGGTGGAGTTCTCGGTGTCGATGGTGTAGAGGATGCCCTCGTATCGGATCTCCGCCTTGGAGATGAGGCTGATCTTGCTGCCGATGTACGGCGTCTCGCCGCTCATGTCGCCGCTTGCCGCCGAGGGGGCCGCGGGGGCCCCGCGGCGTCCGTGGAGAGGAGAGAGAAAAAAAAAATCCCCCCACTAAAAAATGGCGGCGGAGAGGGCCGCGCGGTGCATTGTGGGGGCGCGGCACGGGGGCGGGAGCGGGCGGCGCTGCCCGCGAGTCTGAGGGGAAGTTTCGTGACATTAAAATGTTAACTTTTTTTTGTCGTTCGATAAATAACGACGATGAGTTCATCATATCTGTTAGGACTTTTATTGCTGCCTTGTCGGTGTTGTGGTCGATGTTGTTGCGTAAATTCCGTTTAGTTGCCCACCCCCCCTATCAGGGCCTTACCTTCCTACAGACCAATCCCGACCTGGTCACCCCGTGCCCCTTATAAAGCTCAACGTGCATCCTACAAAGTCCCATCACAAGGGATAAACACACACAAGAGACGAACAAATATCTATATATGTTGCCCATGTAGTTTTCAAGTTTTTTTCAAGTTTCATTTATTAGGTATAGCCCTGTGAGCCATGCGGCTCTAAAGTCGGGTGCAACCGCAACAAACAAAATTTAAACACAGAAATATCTTAAAGCGACAACGCGTAACAGACACATCCTGGAATAAACCAGCAAATATTCCACACAAAAAAACATGTTAAAACGCTGTATGTTAAAATCACAATGTGGTGCAAGCCAACAACAACAACCATAAGACAATTTAGATTAACCATGTTTTCGAATCACCAAAATAAAGCTGTAAAAACACTGTAACAACAGTAATCATAGGAACTGTGAAACGGCTGTGCGCTGTATGGACCTGAAAACTCAATTTACATGTACAAGAATACGGGTATTAAGGGCCGTCCATAAATGACGTCACGCGTTTTGTAGGATTTTTGACCCCCCCTCCCCTTCGTCATACGGCGTCACGAAAAGTCAGACCCCCCCCCTCCTCAATACGTCATAAAGTTCTGCCCCCCCCACCTTATTTCCTGACGTCACGCACCTAGGGGGTGGGGTCAGACATTTGTGACGTGTGACGAAGGGGTTGGGGGGTCAAAAATCGCCCAAAATCGCGTGACGTCATTTATGGACGGCCCCTTTGTCTCCCCAGTGGCAATGTATGAACATCGCACCACGTGCTCATTTTAGGCTGAGTCGACCTCGCGGAGACCCAGGGCCGCTTCAGATAATCGTCACCGACGGTGTTGGCCGTGAGCGGGGACTCGAACTCGGGTGGCCGGGTTCGCAGCGCTAACCGCTGCACCACCGCTCCCTCCCCACACACTCTGCAGAACTCACACGGCCTCCTGCAAAGCAGGCAAAAGAGATAACATCTCGCCACTAATTGATGGTGAATATTTAAACATCGGCTTCCGTTAAATTTTGATTTAAAGCTTTCGTGACTGCAGGGATTCATATTCTTGGTTCTTTCGGTAAAGTCACCACGTAGAAGGGAAACAATAAAATAATAAAAATATTAAACAATAAAATTATCACGTTTCGACTGCAACACAAGCATGATGATCATCATCATGATGATTGCTTGTGTTGCAGTCGAAACGCCGTGAGAATTTTATTGTTTTATATTTTTATTATTTTATTGTTTCCCTTCTACGTGGTGACTTTACCGAAAGAACCAAGAATATCGGCTTCCGTTGTTATCGTTGTGATTTGCTGTGATTGTGGCAGGGCTGTTTAGTTTGTGTCCGCGGTGCTGGTTGTTGATTCTCCGACGGTATCGAAACCCCCAAAACGCAGCCAATGTAGAACATTGGACACTCCTGCGATGATCAATATTCATGATCAATATCCATGATCAATAATCATGATCAATATTCATGATCAATATTCATGATCAATATTCATGACCGATGACAATGTTATGCGAGACAAGCGATTGAGGGCAAACTCACCTTGAGACGCTAAAATGTAAATATTTGTAGAGTTATGAAAGCGTTCGTTTTCAGTCGTGTACAACATCCTCTATACAACTAATGGCGACGAAGAAACAGCAAACACACGGCAATACAACAGCGTTGGTCATTAGATGTCGATTTTAATTCGGTAAAAAAACCCTCCTCACTATTTCAAAAGCCGCAACGCAATGCTAATAACGTCACGAAGCAGTCCTTTAAAGAGCCGCAGGCTGCCGATTCCTGCACGCCCATCGTCGTCATCTCCATCCTCGTCATCTTCATCCCCGGTGCTGTTGATGATCGTTCACGCCGTCTCACAACCGGTGCTGTCACTGTGACTTAGCTGTTCCTCTTCTTTGGTTCTTTCGGTAAAGTCACGTAGAATGAGAATAAAATAATAAATTGATAAAATAAAATAACACAATAATATTCTCACGACGTTTCGGCCACAACACAAGCGGCCTTCATCAGGTGAAAGGACGAGACTGTCTGGAGGACAGCGCTGGAGTGAAAAAGCCACGCTCAGATCACGACCTTTAAGCTGTGTGAGAAGAAACAAAGCGCCTTGACAAAGGAATTAGCATAGAATTGAGCATTGAAATGGCTGAGTGATTAGCTTGTGACTGGTCACAGAAATGGCTATGTTAAAGTTAAAGCATACACATCTGCAAAGGCACCCCTTGACAAAGGAATTAGCATATAATTTAGCATTGAAATAGCTAAGTTAAAGTATACACATCCGCAGAGGCACCCCTTGAGAAAGGAATTAGCATAGAATTTAGCATTGAAATAGCTGAGTGATTAGCTTGTAACTGGTTATTATTTTATTCTCATTCTACGTGACTTTACCGAAAGAACCAAAGAAGATGAATCCTTGCAGTCACGAAAGCTTTAAATCGAAATTTAGCTGTTCCTCTTGGCATTGATGTAGATGCAGAAGCAACAACTGTAATCTTACACTCAGAATCAAATGATTTATTTTATTTTCAGAATTATAATATTTATATATATCGGAGAAAACCGATGAGCTATAAAGCTCTTTTTTCCACAGATATCCACTCGGGGCGCGGGTCAGAAGGTTACAACAACGAACAAGGCAGACAACTGCGCCAGGAATAAGCGGAGTTTATAATCGCTGTGATGTCTCCTTCGTATTTGTAGATCGGGGGACATTGCGTTGTTACACGTGCGGTCTCTGTTCTGGATGACCACAGTCGCACACTGCGCACTGGAGAGTTTTATATTTTACATTTGTGCATCATCAAGTATCACGCATCTACTGCCATGGTTTGTGTGGTAGATGCGGTTTGGGGTGGCCCATGAGCTTCGTGGAAGATTAAACTCCAGGGATCTGCTGCGTTGGCTCTTTCGCAGCAGAGTGTTTGTGGGTTCTTTTGAACTCCATTCGGCTTTCCAAGCTCCTCCGGGGTTGAATTCGCAATGTTTAAGGTTAAGCACACGAGTCCAAAAAGGCGTGCGTGACTTCAAGCGATGATAATTATTAAGTACTTATTCATAAATCGTGTGTACTTTTTATGATTATTATTATTCAATTAAAAACCACTGCCCCCCCACACCCCCCCCCCCCCTCGTGGTAAATCCTAAATGAAGGATTCATCTTCTTTGGTTCTTTCGGTAAAGTCACGTAGAATGAGAATAAAATAATAAATTGATAAAAAATATATAAAATAAAATAACACAATAATATTATCACGCAATAATATTCTCAAAAAAACCCTCCACACTATTTCAAGAATATTATTGTGTTATTTTATTTTATCAATTTATTATTTTATTCTCATTCTACGTGACTTTACCGAAAGAACCAAAGAAGATGAATGCTTGCAGTCACGAAAGCTTTAAATCAAAACCTAAATGAAGGAGTTTTGTTTAGGGGAATTATGGCCACTCGTTTGACCCATCTCGGGATGTAACCACGAACCAAGTCACAATTCTGGCTGTCGCCTGATGAGGCTGGTTGTAATTACCGGCGAAACGTCGTACTCAAGTTTGTCAATGTTGTGGGTTTACTTTCCATCACACCGGTGTGCTGAGCTCGTAACTAATTGGCATGTTTTGTTTACGTGACAAACCTTAACTAATTGGCTGTGTTGGGTGGTGGCGGGTTTAACGACGCATTTATATTTACGTGATCTAACCTAAAATAAAACTGTATTATGGATAATATTGGTCGCGAAAGCTTACGTGTTAAACTTACCAAGTTACGTTTAATTGCGTCGCTTACCGTGGGATATCAATGTATATATTACGCCAAACTTACAACCGCACTTCACCTCCGATAAAGTAATGTACGTGTAACAGATGAACAATGTCCCAGGCAGACACGGTTTGTGTCCAACGCCGCTTCCCGATTTGTGCGACTCTGAGCAGGAGCACACTCGTGGGGGGCTCGAAAGGATTACAGGGGATTGGGGGGGGGGGGGCCGGCACAGCACACAGGCTGCGGCACGGACACCGTGCAGGAGAAGTTGTCGAATGTGCGAGGGGAACGTCAGCGCCACGTTGCGGCAACAAAGCACACCGATACACAACGTGACAACGCGTTAACTCGAGGCGTGAGAACTCTGTATTGTGACCTCAGTCACCTGAGGTGTGCTTTATGAGCTTGAGGGAAGGGGGGCAGGGGGTGATCAGGGGTGTTGATTGGGGGGGGGGGCCTCCAGGCGGAAAAGGTTGAGAACCACAATCGGCGCCGATTGAGGTCAAGATGGCGCCGATGATGGCAGCCTCGGCCGGTTGGTGCGCCCTGTTTTGTCCAGTTTTGTCCAGTTTTGTCTTGAGAGGGGCTTGCTGTTCAACACACTCGTGCTGGTGAGAGAGGCCTGCTGTTCATCACACCCGTGCTGGTGAGAGAGGCCTGCTGTGTGGGGCCTGCTGTTCATCACACCCGTGCTGGTGAGAGAGGCCTGCTGTTCAGTACACCTGTGTTGAGGGGCCTGCTGTTCAGCACACCCTTGCTGGTGAGAGAGGCCTGCTGTTGAGGGGCCTGCTGTTCAGCACACCCGTGCTGGTTAGAGGGGCCTGCTTTTCAGCACACCCGTGCTGGTGAGAGGGGCCTGCTGTTCAGCACACCCGTGCTGGTGAGAGAGGCCTGCTGTTCAGCACACCCGTGTTGAGGGGCCTGCTGTTCAGCACACCCGTGCTGGTGAGAGGGGCCTGCTGTTCATCACATCCGTGTTGGTGAGAGGG